GGTAATTCTCTGTTTTCGTGGGAGACCAGTGATTTGCATATAGAACCCAGGGCTCCTGCATGTAAAGCTTGAACATTAAGCTCTCTCCCAACCCACGGAGTTGTAATCTCCCCTATCATTTAATGCTTCTGTGTCTGCTTTTTTTTAATGTTTCCTTTCCTCTAAAATGGGAAAAGATTACTGGCTTGATGGAGCGGGTATGAGGATTAAATGAGTAAATGGAAGTAACTGAGGTTGGTGGCATGGGACTCCTTGAGCACATCCAGGAGTGGCCCTTGAGCGCAGAGGTAGGGATCACTGTGCCTTGAGCACAACCGGGTGTGTGTGTCCGCCCCCCCCCCCCCCCACACACACACCCCAAACCTATATATCAGATCTTTGGCTATCTATCTATCTATCTATCTATCTAGTCAAAAGCTTGTATGCCAGTTATTCAGATCAGGAAATTTTTTTTGACATCTAAATGGTTCTTACTCTTAAATTTGAATGCAATTCCACTATATTCTTTTTTTGAACTAAAGAATTGGGATTTTTAGTGTGTATGTGTAGAAAATGTGTAGAAAAAAGAACCTCCAGATCCGAGCACATCTCTTTGATTCCACTATTCTTCCTGCATTAACATACGCCTCAGAGACCTGGGCCCTATGAAAACAGGATGAGAACGCTATTTGGGTCTCTCAAAGAGGAATCGAAAGAGCTATGCTTGGAGTATCACGCTTCACTCAAATGAGAGATGGAATCCGGAGTTCCGACCTCCGTCAGCGCTCAAGAATCAGGGACACTGTCTCGTTTGCCAAGGCATCAAAAATTAGATGGGCTGGGCATGTAATGAGATTTAAAGACGACCGCTGGACTAGAGCCATTACTGACTGGATTCCATGGGACATCAAAAGATCATGTGGACGCCCACCTACGAGATGGACAGACTTCTTCACCAAGACCCTGAATGATAGGTTTGAGGCTGTTCAAGTTCCTAGAACAAGCAGATGCCATTGGGCTGCGCTAGCACGCAACAGGGATGAATGGAGATGTTACTGGCTCCCGCTCGAGCAAATCAATGAGTAACGGGAAATCAAGTGATCAAGTGATTGGCCCTCCCATTGTTCATCGATTTGCTCGAGTGGGCCCAGTAACGTCTCCATTGGAGACTTTGTTGTTACTGTGTCTGGCATATCGAATACGTCACGGGGAGCTTGCCAGGCTCTGCCTTGCGGGCGAGATACTCTCAGTAGCTTGCCGGGCTCTCCGAGAGGGGCGGAGGAATCGAACTCGGGTTGGCCATGTTGGCTGCGTGCAAGGCAAATGCCCTACCGCTGTGCTATCGCTGCAGCCCTGGTGAAAGGGTCAGAATGGGTTTAATAAAAATGGTGGATTTTCTTTAAAATGACAAGGAAAGGGAACAGAATAGTGGATAAATCAACTTAGGTTGGATCCCCTATACCCCATATGAGCCATTGAACCCAAGAATTTTATTTTAAATGACCCCCACATTCAGTTACCTTTAGGTGGGGTTGTGTGTGACCTAGTGTAAGAAGCTAGGCTGTATTGCAAAGATTTCTAAACTTTATTTGGCTTATCATTTCCTTTCCAAACAAAGAAACAAACAAGCAGACCAACTGAAAAACCCCAAATTAATCACTGCCCTGTTGGAAATCTGTCTTTAAGCAAATAAACAGAACCCTCCTTGGTTGCACTTGCAACCATTAGTACTACCACTTCCTCCCTGCGTTGTCTCAGTGTCTCCCGGTGAGGGGGCAGTATCTCCCACTGTGGGAGATACCGCTCTAGAGATTTGAGTGTGTTCTTTTTAAGTGTCCTCCATGGAGAGAGATTTGAATTCACTGAATTAGTCCTCGTTACAGGCTTTAAGCTTACACTTATCCCATTTGTTGTATTATTCCTATGAATTGTCTTTTGCAGAGAGTTGGACTACTCTGCATTTCCCATCTCTTAGTTTGGGTACTGTTTCTGATCATTTTTGCCTTAAAACAATGGTCTTCTAGAATTATTTACCTTGATTTTAATGGTTTAGTCATCTCATTAATAGGGCTAAGTGTCTACGAATTTAGGTGATGTAGACAAGTTGGTTTATAGTAACTCAGTTTTTTCTTACTCTTTTTAACCATCTATATCAGTTTTTCTTCCTCCTCCTCTTTCTCCTCCTCTTCCCTTTTTCATCCTTTTTCTGTTTCTGGGTTACACCAAGTCATGGTCAGGGCTTACTTCTGGCTCTGTGCTCAGGAATCACTCTTGATATTGCTCAGGAAACCATCTGGTGCTGTGTTGAACCCAGGTAAGGCAAGCCCACTCCCACTGTACTATCCTTGTCCTGCTATTTCTTTTTTCTTTGCTTTTTTTTTGTGGAGGGGTGGTCACACCCGGCATTGCACAGGGGTTACTCCTGGCTCTGCACTCAGGAATTACTCCTGGTGGTGCTCAGGGGACCTTATGGGATGCTGGGAATCGAACCCGGGTCAGCCGCATGCAAGGCAAATGCCCTACCTGCTGTGCTATCGCTCCAGCCCCGGTCCTGCTATTTCTTCTGTTTTTTAAGTGTGAAAATAATTGTCCTTGGTAGGTAAATCAAATAGGAATTAAATAATTTTCATCCTTTATAATTACAAAACAGTACTTTTGTTCACTTCTTGAATATCAAGTGATAGGCCCCTTGTAATATATTTGTTAAACGTTATTTCATTTTTAATACTTTCAGTAACACTATGAAAGTAACCTATGAAATAGCTTTGTTTTGCACATTAGTAATTGAAGATTTAGAAAAATTACATTTCAAAGGTTGCAGCTAGTAGATGCTAAAAATGGAACTTATGGTCATACCTAAATGACTCTTCAAAACCTATTTTCTGTCTTTCAGTAGTTTCTTTTTTATATAGGAATAATAAGGTTTGTGCACTTTGTAGATTTCACGTTTTGAAGGTCTGCCAATCTAACTAGATGTTGTTCTGTATTGCTATTTTTCCATACTAAGTGCTTGCTCTTTAAGGTCTAGATTTTTATTGAGGTGAATTATCTCTTTTAGGTTTTTTTTCGGGGGGGGGGGCGTCACACCTGGCGTTGCACAGGGGTTACTCCTGGCTTTGTACTCAGGAATTACTCCTGGCGGTGTTCAGGGGACCATATGGGATGGTGGGAATCGAACCTGGGTTGGCCACATGCAAGGGAAACACCCTATCCACTGTACTATTGCTCCAGCCCCATTTTTCAGTATTTTTACCACAGTTTTTACTTCATTACTATTACTGTTACTATTGTTTTTAGTGATTGCTATAGTTACTGGCATGAAAGTCATCTTTTTTGTTAGTAAAGTATGCCCAAGCTTTGGACTTGGCTTAAATTTTTACATTTTTTACTTTCTAGATATGTGACTGTTAGGCATTTATTCCGTTTTATTCAGTCTTCTTATTTGTCACTGTCACTGTCCTCTCGTTCATCGATTTGCTCGAGTGGGCCCAATAACGTCTTCATTGTGAGGCTTGTTACTGTGTTTGGCATATCGAATACACCACAGGTAGCTTGCCTGGCTTTGCCGTGCGGGTGAGATACTTTCGGTAGCTTACCGGCCTCTCTGAGAGGAGCAGAGGAATTGAACCTGGGTCAGTCGGGTCAGACGTGTACAAGGCAAATGCCCTACCTCTGTGCTATTGGTCTAGCTTGTGGTAATTATGATTTGACGGCTAATACATGCAAAATAGATTCTTGTCTAGCACAGTGTTTAATAATTGTAACTTTTTATCTAGGTTGGATTTATCTCAGTAATGATGTTTTACTTGAAGCTTTATCAACAGAAGACTAACAATCATTTTGATGTTTAACATGTTTTTTGCTGAAAACTTTATTTTGTATCTTAGATCTTTATCCATTAGTCTTGAGGTCATGGACTTAAATCAAGTAATACTACTTTTATGTCAATACTATGTGCCAAGCACTTATGCAGCTCGGTCCATATATTAATGAGCTCACATTCAGTTACTGTTTTATGGGGGAGCCTTCAAGTAGTGCTTAGGATGTGCTCAGGAACCCTTGTGGGGGCACTCCTGGTGCTGCTCACCTTGACTGTGTGGGCCTGATGGTCAGGGTCAGCGCTTAGGCCTGGTTGCTTGTGCCCAGTCCCTGCGGCCACCCCAGCGTTGCTTGTGAACCACCAGGCTATACCTGTCAGTGCTGGGAACGAGACATGTGGTGGCAGGAATGAGAGGGGGTTAAAGCATGCAGGCATGTGCATGTAACACCAGCCCTTTGACAGTCTTCTTGGTCCAGCAACTGTTCTTAATGAGGACTGTTTCTGTGAACTCTTAAATTAATTGCCTGTTCAACCATGCAGTGCTACCTCTTTATGGAAAGTATTAAAGGTGTGAATAATTTGAGAGTCGATCATTTCATTAGAGGCTATTTGGTGTAGTCTTCTGGTGGGGGCGAATGAGATTGTGCTGGAGTCTGGGTTCTCTCTCTCCCCTGTTTTCCACGGGCTTCTTCTTGGATGTATGTTTCCATTGTTGCTTCCTCTGACTAATGAGGTGCCTTTTTCAGGAACTGTCTTGACATGTGGAGAATTTGTCCAAGGATTTTGTTTTCGCATGTCCAGATAATTGAGGTCTTTATCTCTGTATCTCAATGATGGCTTCATTCTCAATGTCAGGAAATTATCTTCCCGTTAACAAAGGTTAATAGGATCATGTCTTCTACTCACCTCAGATTGAACTGATACTGTGTGATTTGATGGAGGAACTTCTGGATGCTAAACCTTGGGGAGTCTTAACCTGAAGGTCATGAGGGCTGTAATAGGTGTTTTTGATGTCTCCAAACTCCGGAGTTTCGGTTGTATAGTTAGACAATGTGAGCATTATATTTCAGTATAAGGGTGAAGAAAATTATTCCTGAGAGTGCTGTTAAATACCTTTGTAATGTTTATAAACTAACTAGGATGATACAAAGAAAATAACTGTAAGAAAGGTTCTAAAATTACCTTCTGTACTTTTGGTTAGGTGGTTTTGAAGATAATCAAACATTATCAAGAAGAAGGACAAGGAACGGAGGTGGTGCAGGGTGTGCTTTTGGGCCTTGTGGTAGAAGATCGCCTGGAAATTACCAATTGCTTTCCATTCCCTCAGCACACGGAAGAAGATGCTGATTTTGATGAAGGTAAGGGTAGTCATTTCAAATATGTTTTTAACATAGACACATAATTTTGTTTAAATCAATTCTCGTAACTTTTGATGTGACTAGAATTTGTTAAGCTCTTCTAGTTCACTTGATTTGAGTGTTGGAAAATTCATAATTTTTATGATTTTTATGAAATATTTACATGAAGTATATGTGTCTTAATGGGAATTGCTTTTACTTCCTTATTTTTTGGGCTTTGGACCCAGCTATTTTTGGTACCGTGCACAGAGTGACCCCCAGTGGTACTCAGGACCATATGTGGAGCCCAAAATAGAGCTGGACAAAAAGCAAAAAAATGTATTACCTCTTGTGTATTTGACTTCATGGTTCAGATTTTAATAATTTGTCTAGAGCCTGTGCTGGTGAAATCAGCTTGCTCCATATCTTCATAATATCTTATATCATGAAGGATAAGATTCAGGGACCTTTTACAATGTCCATTTCCTTTTACAATATTTTGACAAGTTTTAATAGATGAGTTGAAACTAATTACTTCATAAGAAGACACTCTACCATTGAAGGAGAACTGATTTTTTTTTTGTGTGTGTGTGTTATGTGTATGACTAGTTATTATAGTTAAAAACGTATACCAAGAGCTCAAGTTTAACTTTATAAAAGTTTAGCCATATGCAAGGCAGGTGTCCTAATCTTTGTACTATCTCTCTAGCCCCTGCCTTTGTGTGTGTTTGTGGTGGTGGTGGTGGTGGTGGGGGGGAGGCAGTGTGTGTGTGGGGTGGAGACTCTGACATACCCAGCAATGCTCAGGGCTTACTCCTGAGTCCAGCCCCTGATTTTAGATCTTGATCTTTGGAACTTAAATCTCTTTAATGGACTTGAGGTAATTGACTAAAGTGTTATCTCACATTTAACATACATGTTTAAGAAACTCAGTTAAAAAAATGCGAAAACCTTGTGGGTTTTTTTTTTTTTTGGGGGGGGGGATGAAAGGTTTCAAACCTAGCAGTCTCAGGGTTTATCCTGGTTTTGTGTGGAGGGATCAATCATGGTTGGTTTTGGGAGACCATATGGGATTCTGGGGATTGAACCCACTTTGGCCACATGCAGGGCAGGGCAAGTGCCGTAACTGCTATACTATTGCTCGTTGGTCTTGTGAGTTTTTTTTTTTAATGTATGTTGTGCATAAGCGGTTGTTTCTTTTTATAATAAAAGCTTTTATTGCCTCATTCTTCAGAGTAGGAAACTGAATACAATAAACATATTGTCTAAAATCATATAAACAAGAATTGGTGGATGAGTTTGAAGTCCCATCATCTTCCTAATGTATGTTTCTTTAGGTAGTGAGACAAGTGGTTTTTGGGTGCCAGGTGCAGAATAACATTGTTTTGTATCTGAAAACTACGTTTACTTTCCTTTTTTTTGGCTATACATGACAGTGCTTAGGAGCTTTTCCTGGCTCAGCACTCAGGTGTCATTCCTGGAGGTGGTAGGGAACCATATAAGATGCTGGAGATGAAACCCAGGTCAGCCACATGCAAGGCAAATCCCCCCTACCTGCTGTACTCTCGCTCTGCGCTTCTCTTTGTTTATTTATTTTTTTATTTTATTTTATTTTTTATTTTTGCTTTTTGGTTCACGCCTGGCATGCTCAGGGATTACTCCTGGCTCTGCACTCAGGAATTATTCGTGGCGGTGCTCGGGGGACCATATGGGATGCTGGGAATCGAACCCTGGTGGGCTGCATGCAAGGCAAACGCCCTACCCGCTGTGCTATTGCTCCAGCCCCTCTTTGTTTATTTTTAAAAGCAAATAGAATTTTCTGTTTTTCTTTCACGTGATAATTGAAGACAATGCTAACCTGCATTTCTTCATAGTTGCGTGTAATTGTTTTGAATTTTAAATTCTCTCAATCTATTTTCTTTAATGGACATTAGTACATGGTCACATTAAGTTTTTATGCAATCTAAAGAAAATTTCGTCATTATATAGGTGTATCTCAGAATACAATGGTCCTACATAATGATCATGGTATAGACTCACTGCTTCTCTATTATTTTATGCCACTTCATACTATTATTTGGGGAAGGATCTTCTGCATTCCATCGGCGGACGTAAATTATTTGTCAAATATTCCATACTTCTAGAGATTTGCTTTCTTTATTTTTGGTTTGCTTGATGTCTCATGTAAAGCGGAGCTCTCTCATCTGTGGTGCAAATATGTTTCAAATTCAGGGTTAGCACACTGATCTGGGGGGTCCTGCTTTGATATGTACATTTTCCTTTTTTTTTTTTAGAACACTCTTATTCTTGTTCATATATGTTATATTCCTGCTACAGTGGTATAGTTTGGTGGTTATAACAGAGACCATATGAACACCAAGTTCGAATTGTGTTTCTGGTTTTTGTTTGGGGGCCACACCTGGCAATACTCAGGGGTTATGCCTGGCTCTGCACTCAGGAATTCCTCCTGGTGGTGCTTGGGGAACCATATGGGATTCTGGGGGTGTTGGCATGTGCAGAGCAAGCACCCTACCCACTGTACTACCACTCTTGTCCCCAAACTTCAATTGTTTTTACTAACGTTATCTTTTTGTTTGTTTTTTGTTTTTTTTTTACTTTTTGGGTCATAGCCAGTGATGCCAGGGGTTATGCCTGGCTCTGCACTTAAGAATTACTCCTTGCCATGCTTGGGGAGCCATATGGGATGCCAGGGGGTTGAACTGGGGTTAGCTGTGTGCAAGGCAAACACCCTGTCCTATCACTACCCTACCCTATCACTCCAGCCCTTCCTTATCCTTCAAGACAAAAGTTTGACTACCCTTTTCCCACATACGGTCTTCTCTTGTTTTCCGCATTTCATAAAGCTAAAGAATAAGGTCAGTGTTCTGTCTTTTCATCATAAATTTAAGACTTTTTTGTTTACTGTTCATTTTAACATTGATCCTGTGTCTGGAATGTATAAATGGGCACTGTAATGAAAATAGTGTATTACTTGGTCTTCTTTCCACCAGTGCATCAGTAAAGTATTAGAATAAATAGGTAGTTTCTGCTTTCATTAAAATACCCCAAATGAATGCAGTTAAAACAGAAGGGACCACTTTGACAATGATAGTTGGGAATGATCACTCTGGACAAGAACTGAGTGCTAAAAGGAGGTAAGATGATATACATAATAACCTTTCAGTAACAGTATTGGAAACCACAGTGCCTAAAAGGAAATAAGTAAGGAAAAGGAAAGGGAGAGTCTGTTACAGAGGCCGGGATGGTGGTGGAGGACTGGGGACACTGGTGGTAGAAAATGTATGCTGGTGAAGGGATCAGCATTGAAACATTGTATAACTGAAACCCAGTCACAAGCAACTTTGTAACTGTGTTTCTCAGTGTGGTTCAATTTAAAAAGCAAAAAAAAAAAAAACCCCAAAATAAAACCCCAAATCTTCTCTCCCCCGCCAAATGTTGAATAGTTAGTTCATGTTTAGGGAAGCTTTATGTAGCTTTTAGGGAAAAAAGGCATTTAGTTTGTAGTTGCAGACTTGTGACCAGATATTGTGGGAAGTTAAAGATGAGGCCACAAAATTCATGTAGGAATCTTAACTGGTCTCTATTCTTAGGATACATGTGACACTGAATAATTTCACCCCTGAACTTGTATTTTTTTTTTTCCCTCAGTAAAAACTCAGTAGGTTTTAGGGGTCGGAGGATAGTACAGTGGGTAGGGCATTTGCCTTGCACGTATTTGACTGGATTTGTTTTCAGCATCCCGTATGGTCCCCCGAGCACCATCAGGAATAATTTCTGAGTGCAGAGCCAGGAGTAACTCCTGAACATTGCCGGCTATGATCCAAAAAACCAAAACCAAATAAACAAACTCAGTAGGTTTTAATTGCTTGCTAAGTATTAGAGTCATAGTTGAAGGACAATTTTCTTGCAGACTTTTTTAGGTGGTGGTATTTTAGATTATGAACAAAATGGGCATACAGTTTCTCTTCTTGTTTTTGTCCATGAATTATCATTTTGTGCTTTAAAAAATTTTAAACCATTCAAAGGTTTAAAATTTTGTTTAAAATTTAGACTAAATCAATATTATCTAAAATTTAAAATTTAAACCTTTGAAAAATGGTTTAAATTTTGGTGACCCTTTATATTACAGAATTTATTTGCTTATTGTGAGATAGCTTATGAGAGAATATGCACTTTAAAAAAATTGGTTAGAAAAAACTCAAATTCCCATTAGGGGGCACTATTATCAAGCTTAGAAGAATTGGAGACTAATTTGTTTTCTCAGACATGCAACCCGAGGCTTAGTAAAAGGGAAAAATATTTTCATCTGATAAGATTCAGATACTGTTTTATACAACTGAATTTCTTAAATATGTTATAAAGTGAACTGAATTGAACACAGATCCAATAACTCACTGTCTTGTTTTCCAACAGACTAAATCAATTTAATATTGCAGGTGATATAAGAAACTTGCTTTATTGTACACCATAGCCAAATCCATAATTTTTATATTTGGAGTCAACAGATTTTTTTATTTCGTTCTCTTTAAGTCAGTTACAATAGATGATCCTTGGAGTTCAAAATAAATCTTTGAAAAATAAAGTGTGAAGACTATATTGTACTACCAAAATGCAGTTAGGGGAATGAAGTGGTGGCTAGCTTATGAAGCAGACTGTATGAACGTGCAGCATGTGTACCGAAATACTCTGCAATTAAGTCACAAGGCAATAGCGTTAGCTTTTTTATTTTTCATGTGCTCATTTTGTTGATTTCCATTTCTCAGTTTTGATATTAGAACCAGAAATAGAAGGTAAAAATATATTTTGATGAACCTTTTGAAGTAAAAAGCAGTGGGTCTTAATCCAATTTCAAAGACTACAGTAAGAATGGGCAAAAATGTAGTAAGGTGATATTTTCATGGCATAGGTGTTTTGTTTTTTAATTGCTGGGGTTTGAATAACTGTAGGATTATATTATATTCACAATACTTTCTACATAGGTCAAGCACTTCTTACATAAG